CCTTATATAGAGAAGAAAACCGAGTTAAAACACTATGTAATGAAGAAATTATCATAAAAGAATAATATTTAAAATTTTTATTAACTTGTAAATGACTCTTCATTAAGAGGGTTGAATACAAGTTTCTTGTGAAAACAATCTACGGTGGCGTGATACGCTGCTAACCAGTTCTTCTCTAGAATTACATTAAAGTCCCCCATGTCAATCTCTATTAGGTCCACACTCAATTTTCTATCTGTTATATTTATGATATAAACTTTAGATATAACCTCTTCTAGTAGTGTCCTACTCTCAAGAGTAGACACAAACAACACAGAATCAAATCTTTTATGTAATACATTCAAGTCTGGTATAAAAGCATATGAGATAAACGAATGTGAAACACCAATATTAATCAAAACATGTGTAAGGTGATTACAGATAGTATACGTACCTTGTATCACGTCTAGATTGGTTTCAGCATCCTGCTGAGTGAGGTTGTAAGCTCTATCCTGGATAGAAAATCTAGTCTGATTTTGATTTTTTAGGGACTCTCTCACGTAGTGTTGGGCACTCCCACATATGCGGCATATATTGTTGAGATGATAGCAAGGTCAGTTCTCATTATCTTTGCCACAGTATTGGTAAGTCCTACTGCGTCCTATTACCTAACCCTGAGGAGGAGGCTGAGTTACTGGCCTAGGTCTCTTGTTCTGCTGAACCGATGCTGTAGGTGTTTGTCTGCAGTGTGAAACCAGGGATCTGGAATTTTCCATTACTTGAGGAAAGATGTGAAGGTTCCTCTCCACTAACTGTGCCTTAGCCAGAATAGCTGAGTAAATACTGAGCTCAAATACTTACAGCTGCTGTCTGATCTTAGGACGGAGGCTCCATTCGAACTTTCTTACCTTCCTGCCTTCATCCATCATGCTCTCAGGGGGAATACCGGTGCAACTTTAGGAATCTTCTGACATACTCCGACACAGTCATATTGCTCTGGATTAGGTGTGCAAACTCTATTTCTTTCAAATGCCAGAGATGTTGTAGGAGGTACTCTGTATTGAAGGCCATCAAGAACTATTCCTAAGTAATTGGAACGGGTAGGGTGGCCTGCTTGAGCTGCCACCAGCGACTTGTCTCACTCACAAACATGTAGGTGGCAAGTACGACCTTTTGTTTAGGAACCACCCCAAGAGTCGCGAAGGTCTTTTTTATCTCAGCTAACCAATACTTGACCTCTTCGAAAGAGAATACTCCTACAAAGGTAGATAGGTTTAATCTCTTATACCTTTCAATGTAGTTTGGCTCCATCATGGGTGAAACTGGGTCCCGTGGAAAAGGGACTAAATTGTGCTGTGGAGGGATTAGATGACCCTATGGTGGTGCCAAATGATATGGTGGAAGCATCAAATTATACTGTGGCTATGCCGGATGATACGGTGGAAGAACAGGGTTATACTAGAGTGGCTCCAGATCTTTTTGCTACAAGGGTGGCTCAAATTGTGACAGCAGGTGGGGGACAAGTAGCTCCCTCCTTTCTTCCCGGGCCTGCTGGGCAGAGATGAGTCTCTCTAGTATCTCAAAGAATTAGTCAACATCCTCTCGAAATAAACCATCCCAGGCTGTTCGGTTTAGTAGAGGTATTCCTCTCCTATATCTTTGTACCTGCATTTCATAAGGAATGATTAAGTGATAATTTGTATTTGATATTTTTAAGTCTTTGTATAAGGAATGGCTCTGAAGAACGCGACTCTGATACCAATTGTAAAGGCCCGAGACCTTAAAGAAAATAAATTTATAATTTAAATTCATAAGCATAAAGTTGGGATTTACATTATTTACACATTAATTTAGATTTTTCAATAGGGGTACGAGAATGTCCCTTTTAAAAGACAAACAGTAATTAAAGAAAAGTGAATAAATAAGCATCATATGATAACCTTTACTAGTACTTGAAAGGAGTTCACGAGTGAACGACTCATAACCCTCTTGCAGATCAGATTTGGATCTTAGTCTTCTTGATTTTAAATAGTTAATGAAATGGTGAGTTACACTAATCCATAAGATATCATACTAATCACATATAGAAAACTGATGTTGTAAAAATCAGAAA